TGCTGCTGCTGCTGCTGCCGCTGCCGCCGCTGCTGCTGCTGCTTCTACTGTTTCTTCAACGGCACGAGCTCCACCACCTGGCCCAGAACTCCGGCGCACGTGCCGCCGCCTCCCTGTAACCAAATATCCGACCGGTCGCCCGTTTACAGTGTGTTTTATCTCGGCCGGTCTCTACTTGATCTAGCCGGCTGATCCACGCACACACGACCGACGCACACGGGGGTAGTTAAACACACGCGCGACCGTACGCGACCGAATAATACATCCTCGATCGAGCGAGCATGCCTTAGGCACGCGTGAAAGGGTACGGGATAAGGTGGTCAAAACTACCCTCGAACCGATTTTACATTATATCATACCATTCGATAATTTGTCGAATTATCGTAGACCGAGTTTGGTACCTGTATCTCAATCGGGAGGGTAATTACAGCTGCTTAGCGACATGTAAAAATTCCGAAGATATTCGACACTGTAGGCTCGGTGAAGTATGTCGAGAATTTTTTCGTACGTTTGTTGCGAGAAGACAGGATAAAACTGGGATAATGTGAAGTAATTTGTACGATATCTGTGAAATCTGTGAGCAGTAGATTTAATACAAAGCAATAATTACATTTAAGAGGTATACAGCAAGATTTTGATGTTAAGCCGCTGTTATGTTCCCTATTCATGTAACTCCCTGCCCTATATCTAGCACAAAAATACCCTCGAATAACCCTTCGTGACACCGAGCGACATTAATTCGATGCGGATCTTTTGCACTGAATATGTATATCTTTTTTGATATACATAATAAGCTACATTTGTTAACGTTTCTCGTGCACGCGATTTTCACAAATTTCCTCGACCTCGATACCCGTTCTATTTCCAACCAAATATCGTTCGCCGTTGATTACTATAGGGGGTCATCCGTCATAGGAACTACACATTTAATCTATCTTAACGACTGAACTAAATAAACCAAACTTAAGAACATCCTAAGTACTACTAGCATTTTTCTGATGTTAGGTGACATGTCGAAAATTTATCAAGAATGCTATGGAGTTGTTATTTACAATATCAGTATGTTTTACTACAGACAGCCATCTCCACCACCTCTGCCACCTCAGCCACCTTCCTTTCAATTTAACAACGATTGCAACAAAAGACCTGCGCGAAGACAAAGCGATTAACCGGCAGATAAATCTGGAAAAGTGTCTAACAACGGATTTACACATCTCGAAGGGAGAGACATCTAAATGTCGGGGGGTAAATATTGTTCGAGGGCCCAGCTTCGAGGCTCGTCGCCTTTCTGTGTATACAGTGGTGGGTGGTATGTAAACCAGAATACGGCCACGCGAACGCGATACTTTTGTGTGCAAAGGACCAACGTTTCCACAAAATGCAAGCTTTTCCTTGTTAGGCCCGCAAAAGCATTGTGCGTATCCCGACGCGTCCAGAGAAGCCGTGGCATTGTGTCCCGTTCTGTTTGGAGGTAAAATATTTGCCACGAAAAGAAATTGTTTTCAGCCACGGGTCCTTTAAAACCATCTGCCTACCGGCGTCGATTATTCCTGCTGATTGGATCAGGTTCCAGCTTGCCTCTATCGAGTGCTCGTTTCCGCTTTTCGCGATATTTTCCAACCCGATTCGACTTTAGAAATGGTGGACAACTGGGGGACCCGTTGAAAAACGGCCACGTGTCGTGCTGCTATTAGGTCGTTGAGTATGGCAACTTCTGAACACAAAGTTTACTTCCCCTTTGAAACTTTGATAGTAGGGTAGATTATTTTTTAAGGCTTTCGTGCTCTATTACGTTTATTATAATATCTGTGTAATAGTAGATTAACCCATTTCTGTGGAAGTACAGAGAAGCTTCGGTTATAATTTTTGAAGCATGTTTCAAGAAATTTTTATATAGAAATATATTCATAAAAAATAAGCAAGCAAATGTATTACATAGAAATATTAAGTTAAAAATGAAATAACAACAATTTCATTTACAACCCCCTCTGTTTTTATTCTTCAATTATAAAGCTATTGATCTCCAAATTAACTGCAACTACCCTACAGAATATTCTGCAAAGTATTCCAAGAAAACGACTCGCAAAGCTCTCCTTCACTTAAAGAGGATACACAGGTGTACTCGCAAAGCTTATTCTGCTTTAAGCACAATTAATCCGTGCGATTATTATCGCGCAGCAGGTGCCCCAGCGAAAGGGTTAAAAGCAAGGAAATTAAACGCCTATTCGCGTTGAAAGTGCGACCAACAGCGCCGACAACCATAACACAGCGTGGATTGCTCATAAAACACTGGTCACATAAAGATAACGAGACATGGTAGCTTACAATAAAAGATACCATTTTATCCGTACAAGATTCCACAAATTGGTCCCTTGGAAATCAAACTTCGACAAAATCTCAACACGTTGATTTAAAAATTAATTACGAAGGGTTTCTTCGATCGAGTAAGATACAATCTCAACCGGAATTGTTTTTCAGAAGACATTCCAGATTTCGCAACGACCTTGTCCCACTAATAGCCGTGTCGTAAGCCGTGCACGATATCGCTGACGACAAGGATCGGGTTAATTGGCGTTGATTTTGCTCTCACGCTTTTCAGGAAAACATATCACATCGGTGATGCAACTAACCCCTTTACAGACTTTTTGAAAGTACTTTCAGAACGATGCTGTTCTGTCACGATGATCATTTGAAGATCTCCTGAAAAATTTGTAACACATATGTAACACATGTGTAACACATATGAGTGCAACTTATCTACTGAAAATTTTGATGTTTATAAAAAATCTTGCTGTATCAGAAATATGAAAAAATCTGAATGACCATTTTCTAAATAATTTGTGAATGTCAGTAAGAGTGAAAATTAAAAGTGCGAATGTCATTCGCGTGAAAGGGTCAAGTCTCCGTGTAAGAACCGTATCAAAGGCGTGATTCATGGAATCGACGCGTACACGTTCTAGCGGGAAATTAGCAGCGTTAAGTACAGTAATTTTCACGGAACTGGAGTGTCGGTGATCTCGTTCGATTAGCATATTAGATGCGGGGCACAAAACCTCGACGCCTGCGTCAAATATGACGTCAATCGTCGCTGGAACATTCACACCTGTCGTATCTGGAGGAACAGGGGGAATTAACGACTGGGTCCTTTGACCACCGTGTCTCAAAGAAATCGTGTACCTTCGATTTGCATAATAAGGACCGGCCAGACTTTGATTATTCCGGTTTATATACAATTCTAGGACACAGAATGCGTCCCTCTATGGATCTATTCATTGCACGGTGTCTTTGAATCTGGAACTTTGATTGTTCTCGCATAAAAGTCAAAGGAATAGAAAGTATCGGAGATAAAGGAAACGCCTTACTTTTTGTTTCTATTTTCAATGGGATGGGGAGACGTTGAAAGGACTTTTAAACAGTAGTGTAATTAACCTCTTAACACGATCACGAGGACAACGGTGACTGAATCCCAATATAAAATAATATAAGATAACGCAAAATAAAAAGAATGAAACTGTGAACTGTTCATGATGTACTCTTTCGAACAAATATTCATAACAAATATTTTATTCATATTCAAAAGAGAGAACCTGACTAATATTGCTGTTCGGTGAAATGAAAAATCATATGGCGTTTTATACGAAGTAAAAAATTATGCTGACGAGGGATCATGAGCGGAAGTTACTGTAAAGTGTGTGCAATTAGAAAATAACCTAAATTCAAGGCGGTTCGCGATTCGTGTTGAAAAGGAACTCAGAAGAGCGAGCTGAAGCATTTAACGACGCGTCGACGAGGGAAATGATCAATTATAAAGAGCAGACCACGTGGGCCGCACTTTAAGTCGCCGGCCGCTGCAACGCAGCTGTCTTTGTCACCTAGTTACAAATTAATCTCTTCTCAACATTATTTTTATTTCTTTAAACACCGTCAACCACGATAGCTGCATTTGTCTATTACCATTAACAATTTGCTTATTATGCGGGCTCTTCGCGGTGTTGGTTGAAAAGAGTAAATAGAGAAGGAATGTAATGCTTTTTTAGAAACTTTTTGCTTATAAAGGCCAATGTCATATGGATGATAGTGATACAATTGACCTGAGTTTTTTTTAGAAGAAATAGAATACATTTTATCGGTGAGCACTGATAAAATTGTTTCTTACAGAAATATACTTTGTTATATCTATAGTGGTGTACAAACATATAGACAATATAAGAAATAACAGTTTAAGAAGAATTTAACTTTTGGCAGCAAGTTTTAGCAGTAAGTTATTCAAGTTCTTTTTTAAAATTTGTCCACAAGAAAGTTTTAGAGTCAACAGCAAAAATTCCTTAATTTTTTGTATGACAAAAATAATTATCTTAAAAGTACAGAAAGTCAGAAAGTGTAACAGAAATTTACTAATATATAATATTTCTAAGTTGCGTGTAAAAAAGTTGTGCAACAATGCACGAAAGGTTTGATATCCATTTACAATTACAGAATGATAAGAATAAATAAAAGAATGCTCCAACAAAGTATCACAGTGTAAATTTCGTGAAGTAATAAAAATGTTGTAAAAGTGAGGAACGGCAGAGTAAGTAGTACACGTCACTAGTCAGACTCGTTACGCAGTCTCAATGGGTTAGTGACTTCAACGCCCGCAAAGGACACAGACTGACAAGGAATGTTTCCATCAAGCGACATTCTTGAACCGTTTGCAAAGGAACGCGATCGTACTCACCGAGTGCAACGTTTGACATTTACAAGCGTATTTGGAGACGAAAACACAGCAGAAGGTGGACTGATTTTCCTACGTCTTGGAGTACCTCAATTTGCTCGTTTTAAGTGGATTTATAGATTCATAATCTTATCGCGGTAAATAGTGGTATCTGCCTTGTGGAATTTGAGCTATTATGTTATCGCCTTTGTTGTGATAGAAAAGTTATCTTGTGAATGTAGGAATTTTTACCCAAAATTAATATACGTATTGATATTGTTATTGGGAGATGAATGCAATCCTGTAGTTCACTTTTCAGTTGGTAACATTGCAAGTAATGTTTCAATGCTACTTCAAAGCATTTCACAGTAATTTTGTTTCAATACCTCTTCACACCATACTCCACCTAACCTAACCATA